TTTTCCATTTCTGGCATTCTTTAAGTCAGCCCATAATTTTATGAAAATTTGGTCACGTGATGGCCTAGCTTCAAAGGGCCCATTAGTTGTCATGATTCCAACATCTTTCATTTTTAAGAGCGTTTTATTTTTGCTTATTATGAATCCCTAACGAAAAGAATAAACTACCAGATATGGGGTTGTTGTGATTCTTACAACTAGAAACAAGAAACAAAGGATGTATGGGGGGGGGGGGGGGGGCTGAAAGGAGAAGTTTATTCAGAGTACAACCATACACCCCTCTGCTTCATAAAGTAGGCTGACACTTTTCAAAGACAGACAGACAGACAGACAGTCAGTCAGTCAGCCAGTCAGTCAGTTGAGGTCTCATGTATGAACAGGTCAGAGGGTTGTGGCTACACTGTGTATCAATGAGTTTTACAATATTNAGTATTTTTGAGCAAAAATTCCTCTTGGGGGTTGGAAGGGTTATGTGATCGGTGAGTGAGGGAGTTATGCCTGTGCGCGTGTCACACCAATCACAGTGCAGGTTATATCAAAGAACAAATTAAATTGCCTGTTAGAAAATAAGATGGTATCTACATTAATCTGGAGACGTGTCAGATTACTGTAGTTTGTTCAGTCAAACATTTTATGGCTTACTATTTAGTTATCTTACCGTGACCGATGTAACATCGCAACCAAAAAAAACTTTTCAAATTAACCAGATCATTACTGTACCATGAATGCTTCTATCTCCAACACTTCACACAAAAAAATAACTCTTGCACCCCTTGCGTGCCTATGTTTCAAATTCGTTGTTTGTAATCCGTGTCAATCTTCTCCATCCTTAGCCATCCTTGTTCCATAAAGCTTTAAAGTCAATCGTTAAAGTGCAGTTAATGGAGCATGACGCTATTTACATACAGTCACTAGCTTGCTATTGTTAAACATAACGCAATAGAACTGGTACGTGTTAAAACATTATATAAGTCTTTCTTGTCTAGTTTAAACAATATTCACAATAGCCTTTCACACATGCATGTTGCAATAACGTCTGGTTTAACTATATCATGCGTTTTGTATGACTAGTCTTTTAAATAGCCCTATTCTTGTTTCATTCAAGGCCACATAAGCTCTGTACTTTTCATGGTACTCAATTTCATACTGGTCTAAACCCAGACATTTGTCTACCTATAAAAGAGTCTTGGCTTGGACTTTAGCATCATTCGCTTGTTATATCACTACTGTAACTTTTAGTTAGCCCTCGAAATTGTAACTCCCACCCTTCCCTCCCTTTGGAGGTTTATTGTTGTTGTTCATTAATATAAATAATAAACACGTGACACGCTATCAGTTAAGTCTTGCAGCGACTTCCCCAAGCTTTGTTCTCTCTAATTTAGTGGTGCTATTTAACGCTCTTTATGCCTCTTCTTGTCTGATCCAGCACATGCTGGCGGAGACGGCTCTTAATCCTGGGGAGATAAGTAAGGCTTAAGAACTGTCTACACTCTAGCACGATGCTGACCGGAGGTCAGCTCATGGTGCCATTTAGAGTTAGGCTTCTAGGACGCGTAAGCTTTTGACCTCGCCGACTTGTCCGATCCAGTGCAGAATTAACTGCTGGGGAGATAAGTTTGGCATTTGGTCACGCAATGGAAGTTCGTCTGTCACGCCNAAAATATTTATCGGATCGAGGTAAAATATGTATTTTTAGAAGTAGTTCACCGAGGGCTTTCTTGAGAATTTTTTTCAGATTTTTCGTTTTTTCGCTATTGCACGGCCCCAGTTGAAAATTACTGACATTGACTCTTAAAGACTTTTGGAAGCTTCACGAAATATGATTGCTGTGACATGAACAAGTTCAACAACGTTATTTTCCATAGAAATGAGAGAAGATTTCCTTCGCAGTTATTGCAAAGGAAATCTTCTCTTTCGTCAGCGTGAAGATGGGAGGTATAAAATCTTAAAATGCCACAGCAGAACAAAAGCTTCAGCTTGGTTATCCTCCTGGGACATTGAAAACTCAAGAGGCAACCAAAAATGTGAAATCTACCATGCTCAGCAGGAAAATTTCAGCCTGAAAATTGTCACTAATCTGACACAAAAATGGGCGTTTGTTCCCTTAGTCCTGATTGTCTGAGAGCTGTTGCTAAAAATTGCTAACAGCGAATAAAACATCCTCAAATTGAAGGCAAAACCTGAACAGATAATGGCAGCGAAACATTTTGCGGTTTTCTTTGCATTTTGTTATCTTCATGTTATGCACATACTCGTTATGGTTCTCAAATGACTGAAAGATTTCTTTACTGGAGTAATCATCAATACCAGAAAAGTGGAGAGATCAAAGGTAGCTGCCAGGTGCCACCCCTCTCCTTGACTAAAACAATTAGATTATGAGCTTGGGACTTCTATGAGGTGACAGTTGATGAGGCCTTGATACACCTAATCCGGTTACCTTATAATTTAGAGGTACTAACTATGAATGTTTGATTTCTTCAAAGGTGATGGTTCATGAGATTTGTCATTTGTTCTGTCTGCAACACTGTGTCTACTTTTCTTGTTGTATGAATGGCAGCAATCACCTAGAGGAGTCGAACAACCGTCCAATGTTTATGTGTCCAGTCTGCCTTCACAAGTTGAAGTCCTGGCTGGGTTTTGATGTGAAACAGAGGTATCAAGCAATGCTGGATTTTTGTACATCAATTAAAGATGAACACTTTGAAGGAAGTTGTCGTTGGTTAGAGAAAGCAATTGAGGAACTTTCTTGAGTTTCATTTATGCCACGTTAACAATAATTATCTCCTCAGAGCTTTATTATCTAGCTCTCTGCACGCACTGCAGGCCTATGATGCTCCCTCATCATAGGCCTGCAGTGCGTGCAGAGAGCTAGATAATAAAGCTCTGAGGAGATAGTAAACACTAGTACTAAACAGAGGATGTGTTTAGCCAATCAATCAAAACACAGAGCCACAAGTTTGGAAGCTGCGTCCTTAAATTTTCAAAAAAAAAAATTTTTTTAAGGTGGCTCTGAACCCTGTAGACAGATTTTTGCAAAAAATTGTGTCTCGTAATGCTAATGACAGTTTCACAATAAAGAGTGTCTAAAGGGTCACCAATCTGTATTTTGGTTATAACTAAGGTAAAGCATTAACACTGCTTTTAACAGGTTACACTGTTGCTATGGTAACAGTTTATACCCTTGAGATAACCACGACTTGTTCACCAATGACTGGGCATTTACGTGATGAAAATATTGTAACATCACTTGATAAAGAGTGGTAGCATTGGTCCCTCAAAGTGTATTACGTACAGTTAATTGCTTGAAAGTACCAGAAACCGTTGCCAGTTATATTCAGTGCAATTTAAGTACATTTAAAGATGATTTCCAGTTCGCACTGCACACTCTTGACAGTTTGATTACATTTTTTGTTTTGTTTCACGTAAGATATCACAAAATGTAAACATTTCACATGGAGGTGAAGCTTCAGTCAGCTCCTGCATCTCGACCAGCTAGTCGTGCTTCCGTTTTTGAGTTTACGCTCAAGGGGTTAAGTTTGTTGTTCGTTCTAACCTTGCTCCGAGGGTTTTTCCTCCGGGTTTTCTGGTTCTCCACCCTCCACAAAAGCCAACACTCCAAATTCCAATTCTGCCAGGATAGAGGACCCGCGTGAAAACTAGCAAAGGTTGATGCGGCTACCTCTGTTTAATCTCTAAATATTGTAATTCTGAGAACTGAGTCTAGCGGTATGCAGGTTAAACAAGTCGTTGTTCATTGCTTACTTCATTATTCTTTACTTTTTTTTGTTTCGTCCAGCGATTTAACTGTCTGAGAAGAAAACAAGAAAGCCATTGCCGCGCGAAAGCCGCGCGAAGGCTGCGCGAACTTCTGCGCGTGCATCGCGTGTAGACTCTCTCCAGTCCTTTCTCGCAACGTATTCGAATCAAATCAAAGATGGCGGATGGACTTGACGTTTTCTGTGACACTTGTTTTGATCACATTTGATAATCATAATCATGGAAAGTGAAGTTTCGTCCGAGGAAGGCACCATTAAAAGCTCAAAAGGCTTAAGATTGTTCTCCAAATGTTGGAAATTGAAAGGCACAAGACCACGGTAAGTCATCAAAGCTTGTTGAGAAGAAGATTCGATCGTGGCGAATTTGAAATAATTTATTTGGGCTGCAAGTAAGATCGTGTACATGTGGAGAGATCGGAGGCCAATTTTCCTTCGTCGTGTGTAAAGGAAGTTTATTCATTCATTCACAGCATCGGTGTGAAGTATTGTACGTTTTTTGTAAATTTACATTTTTTTGCACTTGCCAAATGCAATGTAAGCTTAACGTTTTAGTGCAAGGTGCAGCAGGATTTTTCTTGAGAAAGTGATCAGCTTATTGGGTTTAGCCTATATTTTGTTTTGCAGGATCACCTTAATTTCGTACAGTGACGCGTTAATTTTATACCGGTCGTTTCCTTCTTGTCCTTCTTGGTAGTCAGGAGATCAAACAGACGTCAGCATCACCCCCAGGGTCCCCCAGGGCAATTACCCCGTGCATTCGACAGGTCGGTGCGCCCATGGGGGTGGAAATTTGACTTCAGTGGTTGATACTGGGGCGCCATGATAGGAATACAATAAAAATATGTGACTTTATAGCTTTGATGCACCTATTGGGGGAAATTTTGAAAGATGACACGGAAAAAGAAGAGTTAGTTTGGTAATAGGATTTGATTTCAATTAACAGTGCACTGATATTTGTCAGCCATGGAGTGGGTGAGCATTGCTCAAGATATGAAGAATTTGGACATCAGTTGGCCAAACAGGGTTTTCTTGTTGTTTCACACGATCATGGTAAATCTTTGTTTTTAATTTCATATTTTTGTTGTATTATTTAATAAATAAATTTATATACATTGTACAGTGTACAATCATGTAAATGAAATTTGCTGCAGTAATTTAAGCCATCCTGTTTAGTGGATTGGGAAGGGGTGGGGGGGGGGGGTAGGAAATTAGTGACCTTGGACAAGGGAGGAGACTTATAAAGAGCCATTTATTTTTAAGTTCAAAATATCCCCCTTCTATATGGTGTCAAAGAATTATTTAAATTTACAAATTACCTCTCTTAGAGGGATCCTTATGCCATGGGTCAAATTAACAAATAGATTGCATGTTGCAATGTGTCTGTTCAGTAACTGATCACAGAAGACATCAAAAGGTTGTAAGAACATCAGTGTCCAGTATCGCACTGTGTGCCACTTTTTTGTTCTTACCACATTTTGATGTTATCTGTCCAGATGAATCTATCTGTTTTTTCATATAAATCTACTAGCGTTCTATCACTAATGCCGTTCTCTGATTGGCTACGCTACTCACTATCTATTCTGTGACAGATAGTGAGTAGCCGCTTCTTGGTGTTTTCAAAGTGTCTGTGAAGAGGATCTAGATAAATTTTTGAACGACTAGTAGATTTATACTAAAACAATTAGATTATGGGCTCTCAATTTCTATGTGTGATAGTTGACTCGGGCTGCGCCCTCGTCAACTGTCACATGATAGAAATCTCGAGCTCTTAATCTAATTGCTTAATATAACAAAGAAACAAAAACAAATGTTTACTTAGAGATCTCATCTATATGCTTGTCCTCAAGTTGATCATAAGTAAGAACCAATCAAAATCTGAGAATAATTTGGCTTTTTAAATTAAATTAAAATTGACCAAGTACATACATGGTTTATAAAATTGTGACATCTAGTAAGTATGTACATTGTAATAGTGGAGCCCCGGTGGCCCAAAGGTTGCCAAGCGGAGCACCATACTCATAAGAACCCATGAATTGCTTTTCTCATGGTCATCATGGCTAGTGGAATTGCTCGTGGGCACATTTGTACAATGACAATGACAATGTGATGAAGTCGTGCAACATGGCAGCCAATTACTCCAGCTAAAAGGTTGACCAAGTCGCGAAATACAGCCTTGGTTTACAGCAGACATATTTGATATTGGACATCTGTGTTATAGTCAATTGTAACCTGTCAAAACAAGGTATCTGCTGACGGGTGTCACCTGACCATATCACAGGCTCAAGTTTAAAGCTCAATGAGTTCACATGTTTTTTTTTGAAGTTGACTGTTGCCCAGGTACTGGTTTTGAATCACAGGCTCGAGCCAGGTTAACTTATTCTAATCAGGATCTCCACGTTTAGCTTTGGTAAAATCTACATGTGTATATTGAAATTGTAACATCTAGACTGTATGTGTAACGTAATAATTTAAACATAACTGTGAAGCCTGAATCCACAATGTGCTTGTTTTGCAGTGGGTCATGGTAGAAGTGAAGGGGAGAAAGTTCAGATCTCTTCCTTTAAAATCTATACTGCTGATGTATTGAAACACATTGACGAGGCATCTGTGAACAATGGAGGACTTCCTATCTTTCTTTTTGGTCATTCCATGGCAAGTTTATGTCAACAGTTTTTAGTTTAGAATTTCTTGAAGTCTATGGGTTGATTTTCTGAATAGGCCATTTTCAGTATATTAATATTTCTAGCTTGGCTATGAGGCTTGGGGGAACTTAGCGATGGACATTAATTGAAATATGCATCTCTCGACCTTAATACGATTTCTGTTAATTATTTTCCCCAAGCCTCGGAGCCAATTTTAATACATATCGAAAATGGCCTATTAGACTACATAATTTTCTTTACCAGGTGAAATTCTATCAAGGATCTTCAAGGATCTTAACGAGTATCTTATCAAGTCCTGTTTTTAATAAAGACCCTTGAGGATCCTTGTCAAGAATCTTCAGAATCTTTAAGGCTTGTAAGTTATATTTAATTATCTTAGGATATTTTGCTCCTTGAAAGATCTTGCCAAGATCTTTGAAGAATCACCTTAGAGGATCTATGGCAACCAACTTTAAGATCTTTATAACTGTTTCAACATTTCAGAATCCTTGAAAGATCAATTAGTAAGTCTTTACAGATCTTGTAAGATTGTCAGAGATCCTGTGAGGTTTTTCACCTGGTGTGCTTGAGTTTTGAATGAACTAATTGGTATGCAATGATGTGAAGCTGAGTTAACAATGACCCATAGAAAAAGAGGGCAAATTATTAGTCTTTATTAACTAATTGTTGTAGCCTGACTATAAAGAACTGACAACAGTCCAAAATTGACAATTTTACAGCTGAAGCTAATTTACTAGTGAATAATGTTTCAAGTTTAAAGGACAACGTGCATGTGTCCATATTTTATCAGTGGATTAGATAGCAATGAGAGAATTAATCAGATTCATGGCTTCCAAGGTATCCTGCAGAGTGTCCTTTATGTCTTTTTTTTCAGGGAGGAACTGTTGCAATCATGTGTGCAATGGAAAGGCCCCACTTTTTCACTGGCATTGTACTTAGTGCACCTGCTATTTTGGCGAATCCGGAGACTGCAACGCGTTTCATGGTAAATCAAACGTCAACTAATAGCAAACTCATTCCGTTCCTTCCACTCCAGGCAGCGTCCAGACTACGCTGGAGAAATTTGAAAACGCAGCTTTATTTCTTCGGTTAGGCCTACCGTCCACGCTAATACGTCACGAAAACGGCGCTTTTCCAAAATGCTCTTCAAACCGGAGACAATTGAAAACGCCGGGTTTTTGTTTACGTGTGGACGGAAAGCACTTTGAAAACGGAAGTTTTCGAAAACGATGGCGTTGCGATAATCGTATGATTTCCCTGACCGATTTTTCCTCAAACACAAATCCAAAATGACCGGTGATTGTTGCGTTTTGAAATTCCTTTGGCGTAGTGTTGACGGAAGACGTTTGAGTCGTTCTTAGAGTGAAATTTCCGTTTTAAAATTTCTCCGGCGTGGTGTGTACGGGGCCTAAGTACCAAAGTCAACCAAAAAAAAAAGTAACTGTCAAGTTGGACTTTGGAAGGTATTGAAAGATATATACACACTCATGAAATTACTGTGCGATAACCAACGTTTGAATTATCGTTTATCATTTTATTTACATATCTGAAAGAAAGAACCCGATCTTGTGAAGTAAAAACAATTATACACCGAAAGTACATCGACATATAGTTCAATGGCGTTCTTGAATTTAAGGATTTTTGTACAAAATTCATTGAAAACCGGGTCAACAAATGAATACTATCATGTACACCAATATAAAGCAATGCAAGATCAAAAATGTCTGATTCTAATCGAATCATGTAACCCAGTATGAATATGCTTGAAAGGTTGTTGTCAACCTGCGTTATCCATTAAATAAATGTCAAGTTGTTTGCCTTTTTACAGATCTTCTTAGGAAAAATAGTATCGCGCGTTGCACCTTCGTATCAAGTCGTTGGATCTGAAAATTCCTCTCTTCTCAGTCGAGACCCTGAGCAGGTAAGACCATCACCAAACGATTATTGGCTTTCCATCAAAAACGAAACTTTTTATTTTTATTTTAGTGGAGGGTCGGTGGCCTCATGGTTAGTGCGCTCGCCTCTGGATCGACCCGGTCCGGGTTCAAGCCCTGGCCAGGGACATTGTGTCGTGTTCTTGGGCATGACACTTAACTCTCACAGTGCCTCTCTCCACCCAGGTGTATAAATGGGTACCGGCGAACTTAATGCTGCCGGGGGTAACCCTACGATGGACTAGCATCCCATCCTGGGGGGAGTTGAAAGACTCCTAGTCGCTTCATGCTACGGAAACTAGAGATAAGCTCTCGTCCGGATGGACCACTTGGCTTGTATGCAGACCCTTCCTTCCTCCTACATTTGTCTCTCGATTCCCCCCCCCTCCCGTCTCAACTTTCCCTTTCTCTCGTCTCTCTCCCATTTCTCTCGTCGTGAAAGTGGATCGGTCGGGTGGTTCAAAACGAATAAAAAACAGTTCAACCAAAGAAATGTTGTGTAGTAAACTAATAATTGCAAGCGAGTTCTTTCGTTATCTTTCGTTATTAAAGCTTTAAAGTCAATCGTTAAAGCGCAGTTACTGGAGCGTGACGCTATTTACGTACAGTCACTACAGTAGCTTACCATTGTTAAACGTAACGCAATAGAACTGTTACGCGCTAGAACATTATAGAAGTCTTTCTTGTCTAGCTTAAACAATATTCACAATAGCCTTTCACGCATGCATGTTGCAACAACGTCTGATGTAGCTGTATCATGCGTTTTGAATTGCTAGTCTATTAAATAGCCCCATTCTTGTTTCGTTCAAGGCCGCATGGGCTCTGTACTTTTCATGGTACAAGATTTTATATTGGTTTAAACCCAGAAATCAGTCTACCTATAAAAGAGTCTTAGCTTGGACTTTAGCATCATTCGCTCGTTATATCACTACTGTAACTTTTAGTTAGCCCTCGAAATTGTAACTCCCACCCTTGCCTCCCTTTGGAGGTTTATTGTTGTTGTTCATTAATATAAATAATAAACTGGGGTTCACCTCTCGTGACACGCTATCGGTTAAGTCTTGCAGCGAGTTCCCCAAGCTTCGTTTTCGCTAATTTAGTGGCGCTATTTAACGCTCTTTTATGCCTCTTCTTGTCCGATCCAGCACGTGCCGGTGGAGTCGGCTCGTAGTGCTGGGGAGATAAGTAAGGCTTGAGAATTGTCTACACTCTAGCGCGATGCTGACCGGAGGTCAGCTCGTGTTACGCTACTAGGACGCGCAAGCTTTTGGCCTCGCCGACTTGTCCGATCCAGTGCAGAATTAACCGCTGGGGAGATGTTTTGCCTTTGGTCACGCAATGGAAGTTCGTCTGTCACGCCGATTGCGGAGCGGTGTTCCCCCCTTTACGCCATAGAACGCGTGTTTATTGCTTGTGTTTGTCGGGGTATTTAAAGCATTACTCCCTAGGAACTGCAACATTAATGTCTTGTTGGCACTCAGAGGGTATATTTTGAATTGCTGCTATGAGAGATGATTTCTTTGATGTCAGAGTTACTTTGAGATTCATACCGGCCATATTGAACGAACTATTAAATTTGCAAGCGAGTTCACTATATACTTAGCTGTGAAAAGCTTAAGTTCTGTTATGTTTTGACTACATTTGTCCCGTATTTTGATAAGGTTGAAGCGCTGAACAATGACCCACTAGCGTGGAAGGGAGGTCTTAAAGCCAAGTGGGCAATGGCCATCCATGATGCCATGGAACACATCAAAGAAAATCTCCCCAAAATTGAGTGGCCGTTTCTAGTGCTTCATGGAGATGCAGATCAACTCACGATGGTCGAGGGCTCAAAGATGCTAGAGCAAAAGGCGTCAAGTAAAGATAAAACCATAAAGGTGAGGTGTTCATAGTTCTAATTCTTCACTGGGCGTTCGTCTTGTGCTTATGGGAGAATCTTTGTTTATAACATTTGCTTCATTAGCATAAGCGATATGGTTTCTGATGGAGCTACAAAAACATTAGTTCTGAATATTGAAAGAGCACAGCACGATTAACTGTCCCAAGGAATTTGAGCCCGATGAATTGAATACTTTTTGTCCGACGTGGGTTTAAAAACTCAAACTTTTACAAAGAATGTATGAGCTCATTATCGCTTTTACCATCCAGAAATTTAACAGTTTTTTAACAATTTCTCCTTGAATATTACACCCAAAGAGCCAAAAATTTCACCAATTACTAAGTTAATCACAAGCTCTTTAAATGCTTGTAGTCAATTCGTGTCTAGCGTGATGCCTTCTCTGCGCAAACATGTATGCTCAATTAATAGGGAAAACATGTAAAAATTGACGTCAGCAAAGGTTCGCCTATTAACAAGTGTTTTTTTTTTCTTCTTTTTTTTTTTGACAGATTTATCCAGGTTTTTACCACAAGCTTTTGAATGAGCCAAAAGAAGATGCAGCTCTTGTTATGAGTGATATAATTGCGTGGATAAACCAAAGATTGCCGTCGACAGACGCAAAATAATGTTCATTAAACGACCTACGGGGGTAACGATCTTTTTAGTGGAAAGGTCCTCCAGTTTGATAGCCTGCTACATGTAACATGGCATAAACTGTCCATGTCAACGGTGACATTTTTAAATACTGTGCGCCTAGAACTATGAGGCGTTAAGACATTTTATCTTCAGTTCTTAGGACAATTGTAAAAAGTGAAAACTGCTTAAGTGCTGGAAAATAATTCTATGTAGCATATTTTTAGGTTATAAAATAAGAAAAGGTTATGCCTTTTTTTCTTGTTTAGCTGTAATTTTGTACCCAGATTTCAGTCTGTTTGACGCTTGGCCGTGGGAGATCAGGGTTCCAGAATCGTTTAGCTGGCCCTTTGTGAGCTGAAAATCGCCGGATACCAGTGATAACAAAAAATCAATTGCAGCTATTGTAATCTTTTTTTTGTTTGTTTGTTTGTTTGTTTTTTTTCACCTCGTCCCTCTTCGTTTTCAATACCCGCTTGTAAATGGTTCTGTTTCGGTGTTTTTTTTGTAGCATGTCGAGTCAAAATTCACGGCTCACAAAACACATGTAGGTTAAATTATGCTTCTGCCGGCTAACAAGTATTTTTTTTTTTTTAATTAATCGCTGAACCTAAATGTCGGTTATATTTCACTTGTAATGTCAATTAAACTACCATGCAATACTATCATCAGTTGGAATCATCAAATGTCAGTCAGATCAGTACGTAAAACATTTAACGCCTGCTCTGGGGACTTAAGTTAAAAATGCAAATGTATCAGCTAACGCGAAAAAATAATATTTTGCTCTGTGTACCTACAAAATATAAAGGAAATAGCTAAGGCTAACACTTGAGAAAATTATGCTCTGTGTGCTTAAGTTAATGGAATGGAAACGGCAAACAACTAGAGTTTGCTTTGCTCAGTTTCTAACGCGTAAACAAAGCGGTTAAGTTCCGCTTAACTTCATGATAATCAAAAACTGGAGTAATTGGAGAGAATCACACACAACGAACCTAACTTAACTAATAGATGTAATAAAGAAACTCGCCTTACTTAAGAGACACTAAAAAAGCGATTTTTCGGCATGTTCTTTTTCCCAAAAAGGGCGCCAACATTACGACTAAATAACAAAATTCTTATATGAACATCAGTACCTTGCTATAGGAATGGAAATCTGCAATTAGTATTTGGCGCCAATTTATGGAAATCTGCAATTAGCATTTGGCGCTAATTTATAGAAATCTGTAATTAGTATTAATATTTGGCGCCAATTTATGGAAATCTGCAATTAATATTTGGCGCCAGTTTATGGAAATCTGCAATTAGTATTGGGCGCCAGTTTATGGAAATCTGCAATAAGTATTTGGCGCCAATTCTTTTAAGACAGTACTTCATCTAATATGCGAAAGTCAGTTCGGCTGACTTAACCTTTTCAATCTTTTCTAATGTAGACTATTAGGTTTATATCAGTGTCAGTGTTTGAGATTTGATTTGTCGAAGTCCTGATATGGTAGTGCCTCTTAAGGAATGCGAACAGTTCCTTTGCTGGAGGTGTTCTTCGCAGAGTTAGTCAGTGTGACTCCCGGCGTTGCAACCACCTTTGGTTAGCTTGCTCGGCGGTTTGGGCTCTGTCTTGGGTCGTGTTGGTTTAGTTGTTACTTTGGGTTTCCAGTCTTGTACAATTTCTACCATTGCGGCTTTGACGGTGGTCTCAATTTGTGTACACTTTGTTCCTGCTACGATCGGTGAACAATATTGCGCACGAGTGGTCACTGCAAAGGACTTAGTTTTCGGATTCTGCAGATTAATGGTGCCGTCAATTTTTGTCGGCCATGTCATCGCCCATCCATGGTCAATCGAGAGTGAGTATGTAAATTTAACCAAGTTGTCATCGATTCCTTGTTCAAGCGTCTTCATCTCGGCGGATTCTCCCAAGCACAAGTTTCCTTGATCATCCAGCAGTTTTAATTCTTCTTTGGAAATCCTGGCAGCTCTGTCCTTTAGAAGGGAGATGAAATAGCGGTACAACGGATATCCCTGCCGATACACTGGAGCATTGCTAAACTCGTACTCTTGCACCAAGTGACCGAAGGCAACCTTCTTGAAAGTGTCCGAGCGCAGACCCGGTATAGTTTGGCTGATGAGAACCGGGGTGCTGAATGATGTTGGCTTGATAGGTTCCACAGCGTTGGATAATTCCATCATCGCAAGAGTGACGGAAAATGCAAGGAACGATGTACTGATTCGCATTATTGTTGGCAAGACTGACAGAACTTTGATCTTTCTTCTTCCTCCTCCAGTTGTAAATGACACACCTTGAACAGAAAACTATGTAATAAATGAAGACACGTTGGTGACGTCATACAAACAAAAGGGACAAACATCCGGCCGTCTTTAGTTATAACCTTCTTATTCACTTGAGAAACGCCTCTTCCTGATTGAGTATTGTTATAATATAATATAGCGCCAAACATGAGAGCAGGACTAGCGATAAGCACCGCCCTCGCACTGGTAGACGCGTTGTGCCCCTGGAAATGATCTTAGAGCTTAAATAGCGTCAATCAAAATGAAAAAAAGCAATGTTTGTTAAAATAATTGCATAAATTAATTATCATTTACAAGTGACCTTTGGTAAAAAAAAATTGTTCTCTCTTCTATGAAAACTGCTTTCGGCGACTTTCTCAGATTACAAGCTGCGCCTTCGCAGGGAAAATAGCTCTCTTGAATCGACGCTTAACGAAAGAAAGTGTAATTAAAATAATAGCTTCCTTAAATAGGTAGCGCATAATATGGAGCGAGAGAGGGACTGGGAGTGATATTTAGCGTTTTTGATCCTGGGGCGAGTGTTCGAGTCATATGATGTAAAAATGTACGAGTAATGGAGCTGCTGCTTAGCTCGTGAAAATGTAAAACTGAAGTAATTCTCTTTTTTTTCCAATTCTCCATAATTCACTTTGTTTTACCCCACATTTTGCGCAAAACAAAGTCGTGAAATGCTCTTTAATTTTGAGGTTTGCATAGAACATTTTACAACAGATTATGCGAAATTTGGGGAGCAAATACAGTGAATTATGGGGAATTGGAAAATAGGGAATTGAAGAGAATTACATGTACGAAGCGAATCTAACTTATCTAATAGATCTTGATCTACTAAAGAAATAGCGCCAAAGAAAGAAAGGCGCCAAACTGATGACTCAATAAAAAAAATCCTAAGATGAACTTTTAAAAGTTCCTTGCAACACCCAAGAGGGAGAGAAAACATCAATTAGTAGTTTGCGCCAATGTTTTAAAAATTCCAGGCGGCTACTTAGCTTAGCTAAGACTCGATGCTTTTAAAACAGCTTCTCTTAAATTCTCTCCGTCTTTGCAACCTTTGTTGTCCCTATTAATTTTATTTTCCAAAATTTTCTCCCACTTGTATTCATACATTGGTACTTGTGGCCAAAGCTCACGGTTTAAAGAACACTTTTTACTAGACAACAGTTTTTTCAGCGTCTTGATATGTTTAACCTTTGGTTGCTCCGTTACTCATACATTTTTACATATGACTCGAACAGGGTGAGAATGAACCACTTGCTCCTTCAGAGTGAAAAAACGTACTGCACAGCTTTCTGCGCATCCCTTGCCCTGCTTGCGAGTTCAGGTGATAATGCAAGCTGCAATGGTTGGGAAAAGCGGCGGATCTAAGGGACTGTAATTATGTACGCGAGGATGTCGCTCGGTTGATTTATTTATACTTGGGCGAGCATGAATTTTTTTCGGCATTTCACTGTTAAGAAAACAAGGCTCTCCCTGCCTGCTGAGAGGCTTGTAATATAATTCAAAAGGACAGAATACCAAACGAAAATCCAAGTAATTCACATAAGTAGAGCGGTGCGTACTCGACAAGAATCGCTGACAGTAACGTCAATGTGTGTGAAGGGAGAATTTTCCGATATTCGTAAACATGAAAAAGCCAACAGTTCGCAGTTAAGTGAAAGTGAAATAACCATGGTAACCACCTGTCTATCTGTATTATGGTGCAACACCTTGTAGTGAAAACTACCTGAAGTTGAAAGTAGTTAATATTTACGAGCAGAATAACTGACTGCCTATGATGGAATAGCCTAGAACAAGGATGAACTCATCGGCAGCCAAAAGGGGTTTAGAACTTCTAAACGAAACATTAGATCATTTGTTTGGAGCCTAGCCTAAATACAGGGCGGGGTTGTTCAAAGCCTGATTAAACTAACCCAGGATTAGAGAGAATTTTGATTTCAGTTTTGTAACTTTTCGGTCCAGTTTTCTGTTTATGTTGTTTGTCTTTCAGTTTTGAGTTTGATTCATCTTAAACCATAAGCAGAAAACGATATTTCTATACAAAAAATAAAATATTACTTCTTTTAACTTTTAATCCTGGGTAAGTGCTAACCGGCTTTCGAACAACCCGGGTCAGGTGTTTTTAAAATTGTTCTTTGGGTACGCCCCCGGTGGTGGGACGCCGGACACCACTATGCCGTATTGGTTACATTCTGGTTACATTCTGGTTGTGTCCTTGGATTAAAACGATATCGTTGGACCTTAGCTCTGAGTGCTGCTGACGTCTCTGAAGAATGATTCCCTGCTGTAACAGATTCTGGTACTGATCCCCGCAGCAAGAGAGTTTCCCCAGGTTTTTACAGAAGTGCTTTCCCAGGCCAAAAACTATTATCACACGTGAACAGAGTTTATTGAAGAGTGATACGGTTCGTAGTAAAATAATCCAGAACTCAATTGAAGATTAAAGGCAGGCAATTCACGTAACGAATGCCGAGAAAATCGGTTCGAACTGAAATACGATAATGAAAAAAAGAGAAATCTAAATTTACTAATAGACATAAGCACTTGAACATAATACAAAACAAGACTACTAAACGATTACAAGCAATAATGCGCGATATAAAGATAAGTCTACTCGTGCTAATAGCATTAAAATAACAAAGGCAATGAAAACTTAAGGTATCTGGGCACGCTCGACCTTCGAATAGTCGATAAGCCCACGATAGCAATTAAAAAGAGAAATAGAGCTAACTTAGCAGGGTAAACGTTACACGTGTCGAAGAACGTTCCGAGCATACTGCGTATACATTAGAGCAATATCTCAGTGAGACACAAATCAAAAAGAAAAAAAGACCTAAATACAGGAAATAGAAGGTTACTCACTTAATTTGGTTATATTAACACACGCACCCAACTTGACTTGACGAAGGAAGGCGTAGATCTATAGATAACGGCTGGAGAGCCGGACAGTTGCTATCACGCTAGCGTCTACTCTTGAACTGAACTTATTAGGTGGATAACTTACCTTTACATCCTTGAAAAACGTGTCCGATGAAAGTAGCGGTTCCTTGCCGTTTGTTGAAGGACGGAAATGCCAGCCTAGGGCTTGGCAACCATAAAGATCATCACTTCACGATAATTTCTTGGCATAAACAACTGTCTTATCCTTAGAAAATTCTAGCGTAATAATAATAATAATAATGACACGTCCCGTAAAAGACATCACGCTTCAAAACCAACAAGGCTCTCTTGCTTGTATATTCAGTGGGTTGCTTATGCATATAGATGCAATATGTAAAAAGTGTTTGTGGAAAAATGTGCCTCGCCTAGAAATTTCTTGTATACTGCGAGAAAATAAAGGGTTCAGAAACCGTCTTTACTTGTTTAATATGTTTTACACGATGGACAAAATTCCCACTATTTTTTCAAACTGGGAGCCTGGCGCACAGCCAAAACTCGCGCATGCTTATTACGTTTTTCCTCTCTAGGCCGAAACTCAGTCCCAGTTTCCCCACCTCAGCTCACTCCTTAATTTAGCATGCGCCATTGATTCAAGGGATCTATTTTTTTTTTTCCAGAGAAGGCGCAGCTTATGATCTGAAAAAATCGCGAAAACGTTTTCATAAAAGAAATATGACAACAAAATTTAGTACAAAAGGTAAGTGCTTACATGATAATAAATTTATGCAATTATTTTAACGATCATTGCTTTTTCACGTTGATTGACGCTTTCCGAGTAAGCTCTGCGTTCAATTCATCTCAAGAGGTACAGCGCGTCTACCAGTTTAAGGGCGGTGCCTATCACTAGTCCTGCTCTAATGTTACGCTATATTGTATTATGACAGCACTCAATCACGGGGAGGCGTTTCTCAAGTGAATAAGAAGGTTATAACTAATGACGGCTGGATGTTTTTTTTTTATTGTTATTATTTGTATGACGTCACCAAGGCGTCTTCATTAATCACATAGCTTTCTATTCAAGGAACAACAACTGGAGGAAGAAGAAGAAAGGTCTGAGTTCTGTGTCTCGCCAACAATAATCAGGCGCATCACTACAGCGCTCCTTACATTTTCCATCCCTCTTCTGATGATGGAATGTTCCAACTCTGTGAAACATAACCCTATCAAACCAACATCATTCAGCACCCCGGTTCTCTTCAGCCAAACTAAACCGGGTCTGCGCTCGGCCACTTTCAAGAAGGTTGCCTTCGGTCACTTGGTGCAAGAGTACGAATTTAGCCAGTGTTAGCAACGCTCCAGTGTATCGGCAGGGATATCCGTTGTACCGCTATTTCATCTCCCTTCTAAAGGACAGAGCTGCCAGGATTTCCAAAGAAGAATTAAAACTGCTGGATGGTGAAGGAAACTTATGCTTGGGAGAATCCGCCGAGATGAAGATGCTTGATCAAGAAATTGATGACAACTTGGTTAAATTTACATACTCACTCTCGATTGACCATGGATCGGGGATGACATGGCCGACAAAAATTGACGGAACCATTAATCTGCAGGATCCGATCACTAAGTTCTTTGCAGTGACCACTCGTGCTCAATATTGTTTACCGATCGTAGCAGGAACAAAGTGTACACAAATTGAGTGCACCGTCAAAGCCGCAATGGCAGAAAAAGACTGGAAACCCAAAGTAACAACTCAACCCGGCAACACGACCCAAACCAGAACTCAAGACCGAACCCGAGCCGACGAGCAAGCCAACCAAAGGTGGTTGCAACGTCGGCAGTCAGACAGACTGAACCCGCCAAAAACACTTTCAGCTGCAAAGGAATTGTTTGCATTTCCGAAGAGACACTATCATAGCATGACTTCGACAAGCCAAATCGACATAAACCTAATAATCTAGATTAGTTTAAGAAGACTCAATCTCGAGGTATGCATTCATAAGTTTTGATTCCAACTTAAAAAATTTAAGTCAGCCGAATACAAAGGTGGAAATAAGGTGTAGTACTGTCTTGAATAAAATTGGCGCCAAAAGCAAGGTACTCATGCTCGTCGTAGCAGTTTGTTGTTTTAGTCATAATGTTAGCGTCTTTTTGGGAAAATGAAAGTATACCGAGAAATCGCTTTATCCTATTTGAGACGTGTGATTAATTACCCCAGTTTTACATTAACACGAGGTAAGAAGTAGCTCCGTTAGTCGTACATGTTTACATCATATGACTCGAACAGCGTAAGACTCAGTTCGCCTTAGACCCCAACACGCTAAACATTAGTCCCAGTTCCTTTCATCCCACATCTTGGCATGCGCTACCGATTCGAGGGAACTATTGTGAATTTTTTTTTTTTTTCGGGAAGGCGCTTATGATCTGAGAAAGTCGCCGAAAACATTTTTTATAGAAGCGGATAACAACGAATTTAGGTGAAAAGGCCAACGCTTACATTATAATGAATTTATGCAAATATTAATTTTAACGAACATTTCTTTTTCACGTTGATTGACGCTCTTCGAGTAAGCTCTGCGTTCATATCAAGGGAGACAGCGAGTGTAGCAGGTCTAGAGCGGTGCCTATCACTAGTCCTGCTCTCATGTTAGACGCTGTATTATATTACAACACTCACAATGAGGAAGAGGTGCTTCTCAAGTGAATAAGTAAATCCAAGAGCCCATCACCTGTTAAATCGAAGGTATGGGTATGTTTTTTGAGATTCCCGATCATAAATCAAAAACCATTGGGTGGATAAAGTCAAGAAATTGTTATATTATAGACGATAAATAAAGAAGACAGTTCTCCAAATTTAAGGTGTGTGCATCGTCCCAAAGTTGAGATTTTCGTCGAAATGTTCCGCGCAAAATTATAGGCCTAGTATAGAGCCGCCATGTTGGTGGACCTCCTTTGTCCTCCAATATGGCGGCCGGAAAATAGAGTAAACATGTGAAACTAAATTTCAGGTTCTGTGCTTTGGCGATCTAGTCGACTGATTATCTGAATCGAAACAAAAAAATTTACAAAAGCACTATATTTTTTTAATACTTAAACTCCTAAAATGGCTAAAAATCACTAGTTAAGTGTATATTTTTCGACAAACGCGATCTTAGCTTTTTGTCACGCACCGCCATAACTCCGACATTCAAAATGCGCTGGTTTCCAAACGAAGGGCGCTATTGAGCTGGAAAGTTGTAAACAGATATGAATTTAGTACCTCGTATGCCTGATAAGGATAAAAACCTTTAGGGACTCTTTAGTTTTGGATTTTAGAATTTGATGACTTGACTTGAACACACTCTATATAACCAACTTAGATTTTGAAACTCTGATGAAGGTGGACAGATTCAGAAAAGAAAAAACAACAGATCGAATTACAAAAAGTCTTAGAGAAATAACTATTACCGATCGCAACACTGAAGCGAGTCTTAAATCGTGTCAGTAAAAATTGCAGTGCACGTATGTTTTCGTAGGGTACCGTAAATATATCAAGCTAAACGAAAAACAAATTTTAGATGGTCACGCAATTTTCACATTTTGTGTGACAAGTCTTTCACATTTTCGCGCGCACAAGGTAGCCAATCACTGCTTCTGGCGTACTACGTTTCAATTGGTTTAGAGACAAAAGGCCCTCCCGTATAAACATTCATCTTGGCGTAGTAGATCGTTCATTTTCCTGTAGCGATATGGTGAAGAATGTATCGAATCTTAACGAGTTTTTTAGCTTTTACAGTTTTTTCTACAAGACCAAATGTTACCTCACAGAACCAGGAGTCCTGTAGCAGAGATTCAAACGGCAAATATCGATATTTTAGCGAGAATGAGCGAGTTAAACTTCGAGAAAAAGCTAAACAGATGTTTTACTTTGGGTATGACAATTACATGAATTTTGCCTTTCCCAAAGATGAACTAGACCCTATTCACTGTACAGGAAGAGGACCAGACTATAATAATCCGTAAGTGTTTTTCTTATTAATGAATAACTCACCAGTGGTATGTGTTCAAGATTTGTTTTTCGCATGTCATGATCAATCGATGCAAATGTATATTTGATCTTTAGAAATTGTGACTTGGAGTTTTCCTCGTAAGTTTCGTTTACCTCGGCTATAGAAGGCTATAGAATGGATCACTCGTGGATGAGTACAATCGCTGTATAATAATGTACTTTGAATTGTTTCAAGGATGATCGAGTTGTAAACATATTGTTTCATCAGTTTTTTGTGATATGACTACTATATAAGCTTAAGATTGGTAATATTTAAGCTCATTGTAAGCAGAATATCAGCTTAAGGAGTTCAGTTTATTGTGTTTGCTTTTGATTTCTTTGATTGAAGAAGAAAAAAATACAGTTAATAAAACACGTACACAAAGCCACATACTTCTTCCCTCCCCCTCCCCACCCCACTTGGTCTTCTACCGGGTAGGTCTACTTGTGACTTAAAACGTTTAACCGGGACACGTGCTATTTTCGCAAGAACAGCTGTCATTTCAAAACAAATTAATTGAGTGTCATGGAAATATACAGAGTAATGTTACCAGCGTTTGCACTAAGTTTCTGTCATTAAACTTTCCACTTCCAGGTGTGGGTTTGAATCAGAGCAGGAAATGAAATACCTTACTGTCTGACAGAACTGGCTTGCCTTAACCTGCTCTCATCCAGATTCAACCCACACCACCTATGCTGCAAATCTGGTATTCGTTCGTGTACTGGGATGTCTCACTGTCTTGACAAAAATGTCAGGTCTGCAGTACAAAATACAGTGGCACTATGCCATGAATAGCTAAGCAAGGCAATCAATTAATAAGTACTGGTACTATTTGAGGAAGGACTAGGTAACGATTGACCATGCACGTCAAACTCTTTGTTTTATTTTCTTAACTAGGGAAATTTGAGCCTGTTATATTTTAACTCTCTTATAGCCAGTGAAATGTTAGCTGGTGCAACATCAGGCTCTTACATCTCTCTATGCAAATTTATGCGATATAAAAATTGGCTTTTGTTTTGTTTTACCCTGATCAGATCATATAAACTTAAGGCATCTACGGCTGAGTGTTGATCAATACCCTCAATCAATACCTTCAATCGACTCCTGATCAACCCTCGTTCAACACTCGATTGATGCTTGACTGACACTTGGTCAACACCTCAGTTGACACTTGATTGCAGACATGCCGTAGAGTGTCAATCGATACTTATGAGTCGGTTAACACTCACCCCACCACTGACCAATTGTCAATTGAGTGTCGATTGAGTGTCCATTACTGGACCTTTCAATAACATGCGGACTCTAAAATTCAAAGTTCAACCGACAAATGCGTTTTTCACTACCACCAATCAAATGTTCGGTGACTCCTCCCAGCTTCCGACTACTGCCGAGCACTGTTTCGTCGTCTGAACTGTGCTCAGCGATTTTATTACTGCGTGCTCAGCAGTAGTGGGAAGCTGGGAGGAGCCGCCGAACATTTGATTGACTGTACCAAAAAATGCATTTGCTGGCTGAGCTTTCAACTTTAGAGTCTGCATGTTATTGAAAGGGGCAGTAACTGTTGACTGAGTATTGATCGAGAAGTTGATTGAGGTGTTGATTGAGGTTCAATCGAGGTTATTGATTGGCACTCAACCTCGGATGCCTTTAGTACACATGATCCTCTGATCAACAGAGTGTAGCAAAGTTTATTTGGAATAATGTAGTCCAGAGCAATCCAACTTTATGTTAGATTCATTTGTTAGATTATTGTAAATGTTTTTACTTGTAGGCTAGTTGTAATCTCTAATATTTCTTCTTCCCTTCAGGTCAAATATTAATATCAATGATGTTTTAGGAGATTTTTCATTAGGACTATTAGAATCTCTTGGCACATTAGCAGTAAGTGCACATGTATACATCTTTATTTTAGAATTTATTAAAATAATGTTAATAATAAATTAAATGCTTGTAATGATTTATATGATATGCAAATTATGCAACTGCTACTTGCATAATTAAAAAACAAACCCATCGTTTTCTGCTTGTTACTGATTTAAGTCAACTGTTGTTTTTGTTAGATCATGGGAAATAGCAGTGAATTTAAGCGAGCTGTACAGCTTGTTATAGACTCTGTAACATTTGAAAAGAACAATACAGTTCAAGTCTTTGAAGCAACAATCAGGTAAGGAATATTAGGTAAATATTCATATGGTGGCCAGTGCTTAAATATATGGTTCAGAGAGTACACTGTGCTTATGCCTTCAAGTTCTACTGTGCATATCGTGGAACCTCGCATTACAGCCACCCCACCTCTTTATTATAGCCGCTTTATTCTGACCCGAACAAAAGCTCAGTCAGTCATTTCTAATTTAAGGAACCCCTTTAATACAGTTACCCTGTTAACATGGCCTGATTTTTGTGGTCCGTTGGTGACCAGATTAGCGGGATTCCACCTTACATTCAAATTGATATTTACATGTAACCTGGTGTAACAATATGACATTTCATGAGTTGTAACAAATTATGTGATTTCAAGAGCAAGTCATACTAGGCAAATTCTTGTATATATAAAAGTTACTTTTTGCAAATACATGGACATGTTAAAATTTTATTATAGTTTGCAGAATTGCTGAGAGATGCATTATTTTGCACTGTGTACATATACAAATCTGACATGGTACTTTAGAAGCTTATTAAGCAAAGCAATTATTAATAATATATTATTATATCTTTGCTTTTAAAATTAGAGTCGTAGGATCCCTCCTCTCCGCACACCTCATCATAAAAGATCCTCTTCAGCCATTTGGTGACATGGTACCATCAGACTATGATAATGAATTATTAATTCTTGCCCAAGATGTTGCAAATAGGCTGCTGGCAGCTTTTGAATATTCTTCAACACAAATACCATACCCTAGGGTAAGTATTAATTATCATGGGAAAGTCCAGACGAATGAAGTCGTAATATTTTGAATACCTGTTTAGACAGGGAGCTGTAACATCCTTGAATGGTCAGGACACTGGACTCCCAGAGCAAATGGTTCAGGCTCATTAGCCCTGACCAGGATCAAAATTGGGAACTTGTGGTCTTGCGACAAGACACAGGCCTTGATGGTGTGATTTTGCATCATTGACCTCAAATTGCATCCAATTGCACAATTCATGGAAAATCACATAATTCATGAAANGCTACGGTGCACATGTACATTCTAGATCTTGACACCCACATCGACAGTGAACGTGTAAGAATTCAGCCTATTAAACTAAAAGACCTTCGGCTAATGGTGCATGTAATTCATTATTGATTGCTGTAGGTAATGTAATAAATGTGGAGACAGGGGACTGGACTGGGAAAATGAGCGGATTAGGAGCTGGCTTAGACTCGTTTTATGAGTATCTGCTTAAGGTACAAATTGAGATTCTTATATACAGTATACACTGTAGTTGTTGATAGGTTTGCTAACTGTGATATTGTAATTCTGCTGAAATTTCCACCACACTGCTTTTTTGGTAAGTGCAATAGCCTATGTAAATATCAGCTATGTATTGTACAGTGTATGTAGTGGAAAACTTGAATTTTGTAGTTCATCAAAAAAAAAAAAAAAGAAAGAAAGAAAGAAACGTTAAATGTTGAATTTTTATAGTGGTTGATACCTCAAGCTACATGTACACTTAGCTAGTTCTCAGGCATGCCACTTAAATTGAAAGAAACCAATATTTCAAATAAACATAATAGGCTTAAAAATCCCTACTGGCGGGAGACAGACCAGCTGGCTATTCACAAGCATGACTGAGGAGCTGAGCTAGGGTCTACCAAGAAACAACTCCAGCTTCATGGTCAGAGCAAGACTAGAACTCACGTCCTCTGGATTTCAAGTCCAGCACCCCATTCAGGGGCGTAGCCAGGATTTCAAAGGGGGATCACACTGTGTCAAAGTGAGGGTACTCACCAGATTTCCTTGTCGTTTACACCACCTGTTGTATATTAGTTGCCTAAAAAAAGGCTTATAAAAGTGGGGGGGGGGGAGGTCAGGGGCACCCCCAGACCCCCTTAGCTATACCCCCGCCAATCACTTTGCCACGCTGCCTCCCTTAATTCTAGTAAACTTCACGCTTGGCCTTGTTTATTGGCGTTGTGAGGAGAAATTAAGTTCTGATCACTATTGGTGCTAAAAAAATAGTTGTTGAGGGCGCGTTTACTGCAGGGTGCAGGTCCTGTCTTGCAACTTGTAAATTCTCGAAACTGAATGCATTTTGTTTGACTTTTAGGGCTACATCATGTTTGGTGAGACAGAGGATTTGAAAAGATTTAATGACATATATAGAGCAATAAATAGATATCTACGAAAAGGGTAAGAAAATAATTAGTACAGAGATCTTACAGATTATTATAAAATTTAAAAAAAAAAAAATACTAATGATCGGTATGTTTTTTGGTGACTTTCTGTACCTAAAACACAAGCGGCATAGAAAACATCACATGTCAACTTCATGTTACTTGTATATTATTATCAGCTATATTTTGACAATTATTTGCCGTTTCCTCTGAGAATTTGAAATAGTGGCAACTGTATATTTAAAGAAAAAATGTTTAGCTCGTTTAAAAACATGTCTCACCCTCATTTTCTCTAGTCGACTCAAATGTAACAAGGGAAATGGCACGACACCGTTGTATGTTAACGTCAACATGAATTCTGGCGAAACGGTAAACACCTGGGTTGACGCGCTGTCCGCTTCGTTTGCAGGGGTTCAGGTACTAGGTTAACATTAGTTATCATGTAACTGGCTGGTGAGTGCAGTGGCGTATCTAGGGGAGGGGCCCGGGCAGCCCGCCCCTCCCCCTTATTTTGGTTAAAAAAAATCGCAGAAGGAAGGAAAGCCGACAGGGCAAGCAAAAAAAAAAAAAACCCTCAAGGTCTGGATCTGCCACTATTCAGTCATTTGAAATTGCGTTTAAGGGAGAATCACGTCACAAATTGTATTATGGTTCTTTTAGAGTTCCCAAAACTCACTCAACAATTCGCAGCGCAACTCGGCTGCTCACACAGCTTACACTGTAACAGGAACAACGACAACAACAACAACTACTCAAAGGCTGAATTTTAAGAANTAGCTCAAGGTCTGGATCTGCCACTGGAGTGTGACGTACGGTGCAGAGTGTAATGCACAGTGCTGACACATTACAGTCAGGATCCGTCCCTGCTCACTTCCAGTTTGTATTGACTCTTGATAGGCAGAACAGAAATTTTGGAACCAGTGCTATCCAAAGTGCACTCTGCCATAAAATAGAAAAGTAAAGTTGGAACAGCAAAAAGTTAAAGCGAAACGCTCAGTGTCCCATGCTCTAGGAAGAAAAAGTACATTTTCAATACTAAGACAAAAAGGAAATTGTCTCTAAGTCGCAAATAGCTTTTTGCAGGCACTCAGTTGGTTAGCAAGCGGGGCAAAGAACGACCAATCCCCTGCCGTATTCTATTTTTCTGTCGTACCTTTTCTCGCTACTTCCAACTAAGCGAACTCCTGGAACAGGCAAGATCACAAAGTGCTGACAGATCTAATGGTGAAATTACTCAATGCTTTACTGAAAATGAAACTACAAGCAGAATAACAGCCTTAAACTGATTGATTATGACGTTTTCTTAGGTACTAAAAGGAGATATCAAAGAAGCTATCTGCACGCATGCTCTGTACTATGCGATCTGGAAAAAGTACGAAGCAATGCCAGAGAGATTTAACTGGCATACAAAGCAGTCTGACGTGCACTTCTCTCCACTGAGACCCGAGTTGGTAGAGTCAACCTACCTGTTACATCAGGTAAGACTTGTAGGTCAATAATTAGCTGAAGTTTATTGAATGAAATGTCAATATATTTCAAAATACCGTGACTTTCACTTAGCTCCTTTCAGCATCTGCATTTGTAGACACGCTGTGTAGCGTAGGAAAAACTCGGCTCTGTTTGGCAATGTATTGGATCTGGATCATAAGCGACGGAGTCGTAAACAGAATCGGAAGAAATGGAAACGTTCTGATTCTTCCGACTGCGATTCCGTCGAGTTTATGACTCCGCCTACCGTACGACTCCGATTTTCGATATTCACTAGGTCGAGTAAGCTCTCTTACTACTCCGGCTACGACTCGTCGCTAGTGGAAACCAGCCAGGCTTTGGCGGACAGCACAATTGTCTTTTTTTGCGTTGGAAAAAATATTACGAGTTGGGTGGTAAGCCTGTGAGGCTTCTAATTACTATAACAAATTATCTTTCTACCAAAGGCCACCCATCATCCGTTCTATCTACACGTTGGTCGGGAAATCATAAGGGACATAGAAAAACATTCTAAAGCCAGGTTAGTGTTTTAGTCTCTCGGCTTCCCTTTCTATATATATACTGGCTATCATTCGCTGTTAAGATGTCACGGCGAAATAAGTTAGGTGGATAAAATTGGACTGGTGCTGCCCTGATGGTTAAAATGTGCAGTTTCAGAAAATACATGTACCCATACTCCCCCCACAGAAGGGATTGGACTTTTCCTGGGGTGGGGGTGGGGGGTTCTCTAAGACCAACAAATTTAAAAAAATGTAGAAAGCTTAATTGGAATTTCCAGAGGGGTGGGGACGGGGGTCTTCCGCAGGGGAGGTATGGATATTTTCTGGAACTACACAATACGTTGGCCTTGAAATTGGTAGCCGAGAATTCGAGCGCAGCCAAGCGTCATACTTTATTTCACAGGTATATGAACTCTTGACCCTAAGGTTGTTTGTATTTGTGGTTGTTTGTAGATGTGGCTATGCTACTTTACACGATGTGAAAGATAAAACTCAAGAGGACAGAATGGAAAGCTTTTTCTTGAGTGAAACGAGCAAATATTTATACCTTGTGAGTATTACAAGTAGATTAAGATCACCAGCAAAGCAGCTTGTCAATCGATTGTCCATATTCCGTCGGTTCGTGCGTCCCTCCGTGCATCTCTGATATGGTCAGTCAGTCAGTCAGTCAGTCAGTCCGGCCGTCCGTCGGTCCGTCCGTCCGTTCGTCCGTCAGACAGACAGCAAGTCAGCGAGTCACTCAGCTACTCAGCAAGTCAGTCAGTCTGCCTGTCTGCCACACTTCCCTGAACGTTGAAACAAATAAAGATCACTTACTTAACAACATGTTAAAGTAACTGATATGTTAATGAATGGCACCGGAACACGAGGCAGTCACACCACAGGTTACTGACGACAACTTATTCCGTTTATAGTTATTTGATGAAAAGAACCATGTCAATCAAGATGCTTCGAACTACATCTTCAGCACTGAGGGGCATATCTTTAAGCTGGATACTCGGTTCAGGAAAAGACCCTGGGATCTAGAGTCCAAGAGATATGTTCAAAAGGGCACAAAAACAGCTTCTTACATTGGCTCTGTAGGAAGGCATAACGACAGCATTGGGGTAGGTCGGCCTGTTTAGATTTATATTCAAAAAGCAATCGTGTACCTGATGTTCTCTGATCTCCTTTTGGCAGATTCATGTTTGTTTGTTTGTTTGTTTGTTTTTTTGGAACGAGGACGCGACGTGGCCCTGGGTTCAAATCTTACTCCGTGTCACTGGATGGATTTGTGTTCGCTGGTCCCAAACTCAACTCTTCTATTCTTGTAAATAACCAACTGGTCAGCTTCAGGCCTGTCAGGATTCTTAACAAGTTCTGTTTACTAAATACATTTTTGTGTCTCCATGTATAGTGTTCCCAATTAGCACAGCATTGCCAAATACCATTTATTTATTTTTCCTACATGTATCGGATTCTATCTGTTTATCTTCCAGTGTGCCATGTTTTGTAGTGATGTGAACAGTCCCTTGCCAATGGATATCCGTTACTGGGAAGAGGTGGAAAAAGCAGTAGGAATATGAGCGAACAATTCAAGCCAGCGACGAGAAACGCCTTCTTGTTAAGAAGCAACTTCTGACGAAAACTCGAATGCTAAAATAACAACAACAACTCTCAATTTTCTTGCGGTGTTATGGTGAGAACACGTCCCAATGTCAGCTTAGTCACTTGTGGCTCGTAATGGTTTTACGCTATACGACTGAACACAATATTATGTACAACATTTGTCTTTATCGCTTTACTCATTATTATCGTCGTCGTCATCGTCATCATCGTCGTCGTCGTCATAGTCATCATCATCGTCGTCGTCGTCGTTGTCGTCATCGTCGTCGTCATAGTCGTCGTCATCATCGTCGTCGTCATCGTCGTCGTCGTCATTGTCATCATCGTCGTCGTCATCGTCATCGTTGTCGTCGTCATAGTCATCATCGTCGTCATCGTCGCCGTCATCGTCGTCGTCATAGTCATCATCGTCGTCGTCATCGTCATCGTCGTCATCGTCGTCATAGTCATCGTCGTCGTTGTCGTCATCGTCGTCGTCGTCATAGTCATCATCATCGTCGTCGTCATGGTCATCGTCGTCGTCGTCATCATCGACATCGATATCGTCAACGACGTCATCACATCCTCATTAGCATCATCATTTGCCATTATATCAAACGAATAGACTTATCGAAGAGACGATGATGCAGTTCAAGTGCGCCATCGGTAGCTTTGTCGCTGATGTTAATTAAATTAATTCAAAAAAGGCCGTCGTGGTTAGGGATAGTGATAGGGAACGGACCATTATTTTTCATGGGGAGGGGGGGGGGGGGGGGGCGATGGGTTGTTAGGCAATTTTCTGGGACATGCAATTTTTCTCACCTGTAGGTTGTGCGTGATTTTCATGGGTGGGCAATAACTTGGGCAAGGTTTTTTTTAATCAAAAGTTGGACCTGGATACCTGCTCGATGTTTCCCCCTTGCCATGCTGTGTGGGAAGTGTTTTTTTTTTATTTATTTATTTTTTTTGGACTTTGCCTAATTCCCCCTCCCCCCTCCAAACCCACCCATCCCAGAAAAATACTGGCCCGTCCCTAAGAAAACACGGGCGGGGGTTAAAATTTTCATTTTAGGTAGGCGTTTAAAGTGAATAATATTTTTGTACAAAAAATGCAATTAAAGCCAAAATGAGAATTGCCTGTTTGACAGTCGTCGATTCCCTCGTCATCTGATTTTTCTGACTATAGAAAAGTCGTTGTTCACGTTGTTCACAGTTTCAAAATGGTTTTGTGCCACGTGCCATTAGACATACATAGACATAGACATACTTTATTTAACGTGGACAAGTACACACTTAGCTGTTCGCTAGCTTCCAGGTGTTCCACGATTTAAATTAAGTAATGTACAACACTATAGGAGCTTAAAAAAAGGTATTTTCATCAAGCTAATTTGAAAATCACATCTATTCTTGCAATGTCACTAAAAAAAGAAAAAAAAAACCCGAGCTAAAAGCGATAAAATATAATCAAAGTGTATTAAACATGAAAATCAGTTATTAATTTTGCAAACAGTAAGAGAGTACATCCCTAAGCAGATTTGGAGCTACTTAAATGTACAATGTCACGTGGTCTTTGATGACCGAATTCACGTGTCAGAACGTCTCGCTTCTGGAACCTCGATTTGGGGCTGGGGACATCCTCGTTGCCAGGGCTTTTCTCTTACTGATTGGGAGGGCCCCATGGAAACGAGGTCGGTTGCGGCCTGGCACTGGCAACCTCGTTTTTAGGGCTTCTCCCTAGAGATTATGGGAAAAGACCTGGGGCCCGTTTCTCGAAAGCCCGGAATCTTTTTGGGCCTGAAAAGCCATTTTTAGTTAATCGGTATTTAAAGACAGAGAGGTGTATACGCCTGAAACTCCTTGTATGAAGAGAACCTCTGTTCTTATTAAGAATATATGAATAAAACAACTCTGTAGTCAAAAGGTTTCAGATTTTGCTACGGCTTTTCGGGTGCGAAAACGTTTCGGGATCTTCGAGAAACAGGTCCCTGGCAACAAAGTTGTGGTAATAGGTCGCTGCCCTTATCCTTCCTCTGAGTCTGTTGTCCTCCCTTGCACTGACACTTGTGTTTTTGCATGACGGGTTTCTTTGCGGTGTTCCCTACACCGCAGTAATTGTACGTGGCTCTTGTGCTTCCTTTTGAGCCTGGGCTTGAATGCCCTAGCTGTTCCGTTGATGTATTCTTTTCTAGAAACTCGTCCCTAAAGCCCGCGCGTTTTTGGTCAGCGGTCACCTAAGGCTCTATGCTCTGGACGAAATCGAAAACCAGAGTCAGAAATCCCGATTCCAGATTGATTGTGCTCGTACATTCAAGTTTGCCATAACACTTTCTGAACAAACGTAGCGAAAGTAACTGCTGTAATTATGCTGGCTCTCCTTCCGATTTCTCCAGGGGTCTCGATTTTATCTTGGTCTGTCGGTAAGAGATTGTCTTTTCCACAGTCCGCACCTTCCAATTTGTATTCCTGTTTTATTTTTAGCCTTGAAGTAGCAATGCCTCGAAACGCTGCTCACAATAGTTGTACGGCCAACAGCGTTGCGGTTTTATTTTTTTTTTTGTCTGTCTAATTGGGCAATAATATATAAATAACTTACAATGAAACAAAAGGAAAAAAAACTAGTGACTGACGGCGGAGGGAACAGGATCAAACGGCGCTCTTTGTTGAATTACAGCGGCATCGTTAACGGACTACTTTACTAACTTTTCTTTGTTACAGATGAAGCCATACAAGGGCGAAAAGGGAGTGGTTTTGTTTCGGCGACAGAGAGGAAAATTCATTAAACATCGCATTTCGATTTTTTTTTTCAAATATGGACGAGGTTTACGTAATCTCAACACGACAGAGCTGGAGAATAGCCTCAGAAAGATAACCGTCGCCATCATCGGAAGCGCACCGAGTCGATCGATTCACCCATCCTGTCCTGTTCCGAGCTGTGAGGAGCTGTCTTCACGAGAAGAGTATCAAGAACAAGCAAAGCATATCCTGTTAAGACTGCAGACCATTCCTCCCTTACACTGAGAGGAGATGCACTCGTTCAGTTGGATTAACCGAAGAAAATGGTACTTTCTGGGTGTACTGGCGGCCAGGGCGAAAACAGAATAGAAGCCAACGAGATGTCCAACCTTATCAGGAAGAGGAGATGGAGGCCAAGCAAAACTGAGATGTATTGAACTGACTTTGGAGATGTTTGTTACTGATTTGTACAAAGACTCGCAACTTCTTTATTTACTGTACTACGTTTCCCGTTTGTTCAATCATCGGGAAATAAATTTACTCATAACAACTTCGAAGACAACCTACACGTTTACAACAAAAGTGTAGGAGAGAACGGACGAAGGCAGAACTGAAGTAAATGTAATGTTTCGGTTGTTATTACTAGACCATTAAACGTTTGGAAAATGACGAGGGTCTAAACTGATCTACAGAGCCACCATAAAGACGACAGATGAAAAAGATTGGCAATGAGAACGATGACATTACATAACAAACATGTTTTATTGTATAGCGATAGCAAAGATGATAAGCATAATTACCGACTTTATTTTTATGACTGAGAAAATTGCTTCATTGAGATTTGCTAAGAGCCCGCTAATTTATCGTTAATTCTTACTTACTTTGCACTGCAGCGAAAATTAGCGCGGGCGCGTCAGCAATTTTCTCAGTCATAAGCTAAATGAGTGATCGCAGAAAGCTCGAGGAATTAAGGATTTACACTACTCGTGATATTTTGAGAATTCATTCAAACTGCACTCGCTGTAAGGCTCATTCATTTTTGAGAGAATTTTCAAATATGACCCGTAGTGCAAATCCTTAATTGCACTCGCATTCGTGCGATAACCTGTACTTATTTCATGATACTACATTCTGAAAAAAACAATTCTTAAAAATTCTCATAGCACGGCAGTGACAACCCAACTTCATTTTACATATCGTGCCCAGTTTATTCATATGCTCATTTAGAACCAGTCTATTCAGATTTCTAATCATATCGTTTGTTTATCAAAGTGCCCACAGAGTGCCCGGGGTAATTTTAAGGTTTTTTTTAGAAAATAGCATTCCAGGTTAAGTGATCAAATTGTGATTTTCAAATTTGGTGTTTTTGTTTAGCTTAATTTCTCTTCTTTGCTCGAATTTGGATTTCATGATGATTTTTTTCAAATTCGTTTCGTTTCTTGCAACCCCTTTTTCAATCAGTTGTAGAGCTGTTCCGACTTAAAAAAAAAAACCCAAAACATATTTTTGAAAAACAAGATAGCGGATATGTATCACGTCATTTTGACATTCTGTGACGTCATGACTGGCACGTGATTAGCGCTAAAATAATCAAGTTCAAATGCTTTTAGCACCATACTTTAAAAAAATACTTTTGGATACACATAGGTTGGATGGCAAGGGCACAAAGTTCTCGCGATCAGGAGTGAAAAAAAAAAAAAAAAAAAAATACAGTCTAAAGAGGATTTTATAATTTGCTTCCTTCTCTTACGCTATCTGCTTGCTGCTTTTACAACTTTGTTTGAACGAGATGAACACAATTCTAAGGGAATCTCACCGGCGGAGGTCCCATTCTAGCTGCGCTCATTCTCTTGTAAGCAATGTAAACCAGCAAGACTCCTACTAACAAACCGAGCACAACACAAGCGATCGCTACCCCGGCCACCGCTCCTGAAGATAACCGGGTTTGCTTCTGTGTCGTTGGCTCTTTGGGACACAGAGAGGATACGCTGAATGCATCAGGAGAAGGGTAACGCCACTCAAACAAGTAGAAGTTGACGTTGGACTCAAACTCATCTTCTGCCGTTGCGTTTATCGTTATGTTTCCTTCTATCTCCAACCTAACGGGAACCTGAAAAGAAAACAAAAGTCATTCTACGAACATGTTCATTCGTTTTTAAGATTCCCGCAACTTGAACTGGAAATACTTTCGCAGAAAGGTTAGGGCAAGTTAACAAGCTCGATCTACATCCGACTTTCAGAGCGGAAAGATGTACTGCACAGCTTTCTGTGCATCGTTAGCACTACTTCTGGGCTCAGGTAATAATGCAGGCTGCCATGGTAGAAAGAACGGCGGACTGTAGTAAAGTACGCGGGAATGTCGGTCGGTTGATTTTTTCATACTTGGTCAAGCATGAATTTTTTCTTCGGCATTTCACTGTTAATAAAGTCTCCCCCGCCTCCTGAGAGGATCTCTTGCTTATATATTCAGTGGTGTTTTGGTATGGATGCAATAACTAGCAGAAGGTGTGTGGAAAAAAATGTGCCTTCGCACCGAAATTTCTTGTATACCGCGGGCAAATAAAGGGTTCAGAAAACTTCTGTAGGTTAATTTTGTCCTTAAAAAAGGATTCCCCTACGAAAACAATACACCAGCTTTCCAGGTGACGTGAAAATTTTGCTTCTTACCGGAAAAGCGGGAAAGCGTATAAAGTTCGTAACTTTTTTTTTTGTTTACACAGTCGACAAAATTCCCGCCAGTTTATCAAACTTGGATCCCTGGAGTGCAGCCAAAACTCGCGCATGCTTATTACATTTTTCCGCTCTGAACATGCGACTTGCATGCCCAAGATTCGAATCTGGGCTACTTTGATGAACATGGAGGCGGAATCTGATGAACGACTGACGAACATGGAGGCGAGATCTTACCGGCTGTTGAGGCGATTGAGTAAAGTACCACCTCCAAATCATTCTAGACTTATATTCTCCAGGCCAGTTGACTCGAGTCTGTCTCCACACGTCACATTTGATTCCCCGCGCAGTAGCTTTTCCTTGGTAAACAGGTTTCGCATCTTGATCTTCAAACAACTGCATTTTACCAAACGGCGTATTGATTCTGAAGTGGTACTTTCCGGCTATCAGCGTTGGCTTTACGCTCTCTAGGACAATTTCTTGGCAACTTCCTGGAAATTAAGTTACAGTATTTTAAAGTTATTATTTATTCTTTGACGTAGAAATAACAAGAGCTGGACAGCGGAGTACCCTATTTTCCCCATCAACCCTATTTCTAGGCGCGCCCGGGATCCTCTCCAACCCAAGGATCGCGGGCGCACCGAAACAGCCACGGCTGGAGACTGGGCCTACCCTATTCCGCCTGGGATTTTTATCAATCAGGGGCCACGGGGAAAGGAGGGGAGGGGAGCGTTAGGGGTTGGGGGAGGCACTTTTGTATACACAGCTTATTTACTAATTAATAATTTGATCTGTAGCACGCAAGGGCTACGGGTGGGCTATTGACCCGTGGCCCTTAAGGGCGAAGGGTCTAATTGTTTTAGTATCACCCAACTAGTCGAACAGAATAATAAAGTTAGCAAAAAGAATTAGACCCTTCGCCTTCAAGGGCCACGGGTTAATAGCCCATTCGGCTTTGCCTCATGGGCTATTGACCCGTAGCCCTTGCGGGCTACGGGTCTAATTGTTAAATAGTCGCCTGTCAATCGTTACGTCGCAAAACGCTAAAATAACGTATTTTCTAGTCATCGACCATCAGGGATCCGCCATCATTTTATAAGTTTCAAAACTGCCCCAAAATTGTCCCAAGATATAAGGATACAAGAAATGTACAGACGTTGAAATCTCCAAATTAAACTTAAATAAACACCAATTTTGGGCAAAAGACCCTTTTAGCTTTGAAAATATGGTTGCGTTAGAAACTTTTAGTCGCGTGACACACCACCTGACAATCGTTAGTTAAATTCAAAAAGTCTGACCACTTGAGTTCGAATGCTGTTTTCGTAAGGACGTCTTGAAATCATCGCGGGCGCTTTGGTTACCTTCATCCCACTCCAGCCTAGCCTGTTCCAGCGGATATCGGTAGTTGAGGAGAAAAGAGGGCCAGCGAGAGAGAAAACGAGGGGGGGACTGAGGCGAGGCCCTTCCCATCCTTGCGTCAGTCCCCCGTGGTTTTTTGTTTGTTTGTTTGTTTGTTTGTTTGTTTGCTTGTTTTTTACTCACTCGCCTCTTTTTGCCCTCGTCCCTAACTACCGAGAGCCTGGAACAGGTTTACTCCAACCATGCTAAATAGCCGTTTACCAATAAATGCTGCGTCCAGAATATCACGATTTCATCAAGGTGGTATAGGTATATTTACTTATTACGTACCCGCTTATCGTTAAGTGGGCCTGTACATATAATGTGCAATATTGGTAATATGTTTTTGATTTCCAACTATACAGTGCTCATAAGAGAGCGGGAAACATGCAGAACCGTCGGCATATAACCTCGAAAGTCAGCCCTGTTTTCAAACGTCTCTACCTGCTGGCTAACGGAAGTCTACTTCAACATTCATCTTGCAGCATTGTCACAACAGGAAGTATATGCGAGTCATAATAAAAGTCATAATAGAAGTTGTTGTTGAAGTGTGAGTGTGGAAGAGAAAGCTTTGATTTAAATATAGATACACACTAACACAGTGACATTGAACAAGTTTATCAACTTTTGCATTTCTTTTTTTGGTTTTTTTTTTTTTTTGCCAAAACTGCGCTACTTTTTGGGGAAACTATTAATTCAAATCTTCTCACCTGTCTTTCTGTTGTAGAAGGTACTGTTCCTATTTTCCATGTCCCGGATAGCAACTCCCGGTTCATTACTCGACGGTCGATTCGGGCGTCCGTTATAATCAACTCTGTAGAGTTGTTTATCGAGGTCATAATATTCCTATTAAAACGACAGACGAACACAGACCTTCAGTCTTGTAGAGCATTGTAGAACAAGAAATCTCAACAGGTACAAAGTCGGGGTGCACAGTGATAGTCTTATCCCTATAAATCCCGGCAGTTATCAAAAAGTAATTTCTCATTAGAATACCAATACAGTATCAAGAAAACAGGTGACGAGAATAAAGACAATCATCAGTTAAGTGGTAATGCTTTCATCTAACACCAAATTCTCAGAACTGATATTAAAAGAACTGTATGGCTGTCAGTAGGGAGAATATGAACGTTGTGAATTTGGGACTGAAAGGGTTAAGTGGTTTGAGTGCTCTCCCGGCAACCTCCCAAGTTCATCCATGGATCGGTAGAACCAAGGTAAAAGTGCGGACTTTTTGTTAAAACAGCGAGATCATTTTTAGTTATTTTGAAGGGACTTTAATTAAAATATTTCGAACAGACGTTCCTTATGGCTGTATCATGTTTATTAGGCATAACATGAAAATGAAAAGAAGACTATCTTTTGTTTTGGCGATCTATTCATAATACGGGTTAGATATGAAAGCATGAGAAAGGAGTACCTTTTTTCAATTAAAGCATACGAAAGGGATACCTTTTCGGCCAAAATGGTATACAAAAGGGTAAGAGGTTGGACCTCGGGGGGGAGCCTCCCCGTACAAAACCTTGTAGAGAAGCCCCCCCCCCCCGAAGACACCTCACTTTCACGGTGACTTTCTTTTCGCTAAAGCTTTAACTGTATATATAGCGACGCGTAACGAACCCTAAGAGAGTCTGCCTTGGAGGCTACGAAGTATTTTACCCGAAGAGACTCCAATATAACAAGGACAGGGGTGCTCGACATACCTTTCAGGGGTTAAAATTAAGGGTTTGGTACCTCTTGGGGTGCTCAGCCTCAAAGGCTCACAGCGGGAGCTTTCGCTGTACCTTGCAGGGTATTGAGCCGAAATAAATCAATGTCAGTGAAAAGTATTGTTTCAGAATTGGTACCTCTTAGTGGTGAAAAAGGGACAAAGTCAAGCCACGCTGATAAAAAAAAGGATTTGGTACTTCGTAGGGTTCTTTTCAAAATCTCCGCTGAGCAGCCCCGTCCTCTATATTTGGGATTCCCCTCGAGGGTTTTTACCTACCCGTTTCCCCCAAATACGAGTGGAATTTGAGTTCACGTACTCCAGGTTGACGTCGAATCTCCGAGGGAGTTTTGGTAGAGGGGGAGGATATACAGCCCCTCGACACCAGATTTCTCTTTGCGGTTGAAATTCAGGATCGATAAAGAAAAAATCGAGAAAACTGTACGAATGAATGATTCCTCCACTGAGATTTACCGCGCTTTGAGGCCGGGCTTCAACAACAACTGGGGCGGGGGTGTTTCCAGACGTGTGCAACCAGCCATTGACGGAGAACCTGGGAAGAGTTATAGATGAGAACCCGGGATGAGGAATAAAGCAGAACTTCTATACGACGACCACTGTAAGGCAGAGTTATCTGGTTTCAATGAGGTTAAGTGTATGGATAGGCGCATGGTCGAAACAGTCGATCAAGACCTTGGCCTTTGAATGGATACGGCCTTAAGGGGTGGGGGGGCGGGGGTGGAGTCCATGTAAGCTTAACGAGTCTTTCTGGGGCTAAGGTATGCTATTTTAGGTGATTCTGTTAAAGACAATTAGGCAGATTATAGGTAACGCCATGATCTATAGAAATAGCTTCACCGAGTTGCTTTTCACACCACTTTGTATTATTTACGCGATTTTAGGGGATCCTGTTAGATAGAAATGATCTTAAAGGTGTTTTCCGGTTTTCCTCGACCTCCACAAAAACCAACATCTCCAAATTCCAATTCTGCCAGGATAGATGGGGCTTCCTCTTTAAATATTGTAATTATATTTATTAATTTACTTTTATTATTATTATTTTATTTTAAGGTCACGTCACGCCATTAAAGGTAATTCTTTGATAGACGAACTGGTCCTTTAGCGGGGTCATGTAGGTCATGTCTGTTATGTTATATTATGTTATGTTATGTTATGTTACGTTATGTTATGTAATTCTGTTGCAAACAAAGTGGTCATAAAGGGGATTTGTCACGCTTATGGTTTATACTAACTGATCCATGAAGCCAGGTTCACACTTGTCAGATAAGCATAACACTAGCGAAATAAGCGTAAGCGCAAGCACAAGGAGAAGTGGGAACCTACTTATTTTACTAGTGCTATTCTTATCCGACAAGTGTGAACCAGGCTTAAAAGACAGGATCGTATTTTAGGTGGATTCTGTTACATAAAAACTGAGCTCGGATCCCTAAATAACTTTAACCATCTGTTTTCTTCCTATAGGTTATCTCGTAACACCCCCTTGGAATGCATGAATGCTCGCCTAAAATCACGCGAAATATGGAAAATATATCTCGCGAGGGGTAAATTTCAAACGTTGGCCCCGGAGCTCTAGTTTCTGCAATGGAAAAGACTTTCGACTGATGCTGCTGTGAGGATGTAGTGTGAATTTAAAAAAAAAAAAATTCTGGTCGAGACAAAACCTTACCAGTAGTCCATGGCGGTTTCGTTTTTACATATTCGCCATCCTTGAACTGGGATATTGCGAACGGTTTTTCTTCCAAGGTATCTTGCATTCTGAGTCTTGTTTCTGTACACCAAGTCCAAGACAACAGTCGCGCTGCAAGCGTCGCCAATCAGCTTCAAGGAGCTTTCGCTGGGTGGAAAACGACATCTATATCGATCATATCTAGCTTGCGTCCTGCAGAATTATGAAAAAATAAAAAAAAATAAAAAAAAAATACTCTCAATACTAGACTAAAAGAATCGCACCTGAAAGTTTCAGGGAGTGGAAACCACGTTTGTTTGACGTATGTCCGAGGATAACAAACAAAGATGGCAAGAAATCGTCATAAAATACCGCTAAAATTGCTAGCACCTCTCCTCAGTCGGTTGGGAGACCACTCTGCTATCACGAACAGATCCTGCCAAATTTCAGTGAGTTTTAACATAAAATGTCTGTACCACGGAACCATCTATTATACGGACAGCAGAAATGTACCTGAGCTGCAGACAGTAAATTTCTTATGAACGCAACTTGTGTGTTACTGTGAGAGCACTGAACCGCTGCAAAGCAACCTAGGAGACTTAATCCACGGAACAATCTTTGACGGACATGACTGAGTTGTACTCTCTTACATCGTGTTTTAGTTATTGCTCCAGTTCCACAGGTCTGAAATTAGACGACCCGACGACTCGGGGGTGAGAGGGGATCTTCTCTAAACAGACAATTTATTATAAACTTATGGGTCACCGTAGCTTCTTAAAACGAGGACTTCTTAATCTCTTCCTCTATACTTATACGGATAATCCCTGAATTTGGTCTGTTTGCATATGAATAGGGAAAACAGTCCGATTTGTAAGTAACAGGCTTACATGAATAATGTCGGGGCTCAACTAACTGACGTCTTGATTTCACTACACCACTACGGCGACGGTTTACAGACTTGACAAAAACAGAAGTTAAAACCTCTTTGAATGTAAGAGCAGTCTCCATGCAGTTGATTTGTAAGTTTAGTCACACACCAGGCACAAACTGACCGAAGGGTTTCAGCATATAATCATTAAACCACACTACAAAATTTATTTTGATGAAAAAAGTCAATGTAACGAATGATATTTGAATGGGCACTCCCAAAGGCTTCACGCAAGTTAGAACTGCAGCAATTGACTCTAACATAAAGGTTAAACTTACCATGTAAAGCTCTTGCAGTCGTCTAGAAATAAATTGGCGATCTCATTCTTGGATTTGTCGTAATATGTTTCAAAGTCGTATTTATCCGCTATCAGAGTGAAGGTTCCTCTTTCTTTGTCAGCATCGTATCGCTCATCCACAAAATACGTTACATTCCTGTGTTTCAGGCTGATCTCCATACGGGTGTGAAATTCAACGGGAGTAACATTCTGCGGGAACGGCTTGTAACTTGGATCCTGCGAGTTACTGGAGCAATCAAGAGAGCTTGCCAGCTCAGGGAAGAAAAGCAGGAGAGACGCCAGACAAAGTGTCGACGACAGCATCTTGATGCACAAAGTTAAAGGAAAAAGATGTCTTTGTTCGCGCATTAGGTTAATGTCACAGGCAATGCTTGCGTGAGGCTGGGTAGCCGATTGCGTGGCGTGATGGTAGCGTGTCACATCACGGAATGTCGATGCGTAGTAGAGATTTGGACAAATATATCTGGTATCTCTTCCCATGTGCTGGGCCTTAGAAAAAAGGAAACATAGGTCTTGAAAATAGCCCCCCCTACCCCCAAGGGGCACTCCCTATAATGGCCTTTATGGGGAGGTTCAGCCCGAAAAATCCCCGAAAAGGGTACCTTTTACAGGCTGTAGGTATATAAAAGGGTACGGATTTCACCACTTGGGTTATCTGAGAGTGTCGGAAAATCCGTCCCTTAGATAGTTAAAAGGGCTTTTAACTAAAATATTCCGAACAGACACACCTTATGGCTGTATCATATGATTAATTAAGCAGAGTAAGCACTACATGATCTCCTTTTTTGGCGATTTATTCATAATACGGGCTGGTTCTGTTATAAAAGCTTGTAGAAGGGTTACCTTATTTAATTAAAGGTATACGTTAAGGGTACCTTTTCTGTCAAAATGGAATACAAAAAGGTAAGGGGTTGGACTTAGGGGCGGAGCTTTGTAGAGTACCTGGCTGGGGGAAATAACACACAACGGACAAATTGCCCGTGAGTGGGCTATCCGTGGGTCAGAAAATGTCTACAGTGCTATAATTAGTAACTCAACGTTCAAAAAAGACAGTCAAGGGAAAGGACCAGCTGGTCATCAGTGCAGCGATTTGTTTAAGTTATGTTTGACGAATGCGGCGTCCCTTTTCAAATGCAAATTAAAAGGGTTATCAGATTTTCAAATTACTTCGGCTTGAATAGACGCCGCTGTTTTATGATTGGAAGCAATTGCCTTCGAATTTTAACCTCAAGTGTCAAAATAAACTGCTGTGTGCAAGTATATAGATCATTTCTATACTTTGGTATGATTGAAAATGGCAAATGGAACTTGGATAGGCTGGACGTCAAAATATCTGTCGGTAAATTGAAGATAATTTAAAGATTTCGTCTTACTTTATTTTAATGGATTCTTTATGATGTGAAAAAGTATTTTATTTTACGATTTTCTTGAAGCAACTTTACCAGTCTCTGAGGTAGGGCAGTTTAAGATAAACTTATAGAAACAATTTGTCACATTAATTTGAAATATCAAGGCTTGACATTCCTTTTTTAACAAATGATAGGGTAACTAGAATGAGTTATGGCAGTTCGTTGGGGAAGAAATAATTCCCCCGTTCGGTCCGGTCAGTCAGTCAATCAGTCAGTCAGTCAGTCAGTCAGCCAGCCAGCCAGTCAGTCAGTCAGTCAGTCAGCCAGTCAGTCAGTCAGTCAGCCAGTCAGTCAGCCAGCCAGCCAGCCAGCCAGTCAGCCAGCCAGTCAGTCAGTCAGTCAGTCAGTCAGTCAGTCAGTCAGCCGA